TAATTTTAATTTTTAGAATCCTTCTAAAACTGCTAATTATCTTAATACCATTGCTGATGTTTCTACTCGATGGAATTTTAGTTATCTAGCTTGGTGCCACCTTTTAAAATTAAAGGAATATATTAAAGTATTACTTAATTATCTTGAACTTCAATCTGATTCTGATTCTCATAAGGATGTAAAAGATTAAGACGTATAATGATAACTGAAAATGAATGGTTATTAATTCATGATTTAAAAGAAATACTTTTTTATTTTGTAGAAGCAACAGATTATTTAGGTAGAAGTAAATATTGTACTTATAGTAGTATCAATCCTACTATTGCAATAATCATGACGAAGGTTTATCCATCAACTAGCTCTATAAATAATTTTGATCTTAATAAAACTGGCGATGCTTTTAATGAAATTCTAGAATTGGAAAAAAATGAAGATCAAATTCAATTGCAAGAAAAAATTAAAATTAATATTAATATACCTGTTGAAACTCAAGAACTTTTTGATCAAGTAAAAAAGAATTTGTATAAGGTATTAATTCACTATTTTGAACTTACCTCTTTGGAAGCTCTTTTGGCTGCTCTTCTAGATCCATGCTTCAAAAAATTAAAATTTGTTACACAAGAATAAAAGAAAGATACAGAGAATGAATTATATAAACAATATGATAATATAAAGTTAGATCAATCTAATCCTACTTCTTTACCTCCAACTCCATCACAACAATGAAAAAAAATATCACTTTTTGATGCCTTTACCAGTCCAAAAGTAGCTAAAAATAAAGTAATTGAATATTTGGAATTAGAAGAAATCCTATTTGAAAAAGATCCGTATGCTTGGTGAAATGAAAAAAAAGAAAAATTTCCAATTATAAGTCAATTGGCTAGGAAGATGTTAGGTATTCGAGCAGCATCAACCCCTTCAGAAAGGTTATTTTCAGATGCGGGTAATATTTTGACTATTAAAAGATCAAGAATTAAACCCGAATTATTTAATCGTATTATGTTCTTAAAAAAAAATGGTCATAATTTTATTAATATTCATCCTCCAGCTGAATAAGCTATAGTTTATAATACTTAGTTATAATAAAGGTTTTGAAATTTTTGGCTTTAATATTTTATAAATGATTTTTTTATATAAATGTTTAAATGTTTTATTGATCTGGATACTTAACGCAAAGATAACAGATTAATCCAGATAAATATTCGGGTTAATAAAAAAAATTTTATCGGGTAACCAGATACGAAAATTCTTAATATAACGGATCCTTTTTATCTGGATACTATTTGGATATAAACACTAGAGAGTTAATACTTATTTTAGAAATATAAAAATTTTAAAGCTTAATTGATTATAATAAAAGTCAACACTTGTTTTAACTTTTTCAGGTTCAAGAAAATATCAATCATAAATTTCAATATTATATTATTGATATCAATTAATAATAATAGTAATTAATTCAGAATTGTAATAATAAGCACTATTATCTAATAATACAATAGTATTCTAAAATAAGTACTTCCAAAAAATAAGCATTTCCTAAATTAATTCAAATCTGAAAATAAGCATCTTCTCCAAAATCATAAATCTTTTTTTTAAAAATTTTTACAAATAATTTAATAATTAAATAATAAATAATATTATTAATAAAATTTTCATACATTTTTATTATAAAATTTATTACAATTTCAGATTTTTTGCAAATTATTATATGATATTATAACATCTAGGCTAATCAATTAATCCTTGTAAAATTTTATCATAATAAAAAAAATTGATTAGTAAATTTATCATTCTACTATTTTTCATTATCACAATTACTGATATTATCATTATCAACAATATTATCATCACTAGTAATATCATCATCATTAATGATATTATTATTAGATTCATCAATGATATCATATTCAGATTCATCACTAATGTCATCATTTTCACTGATTTTATCATCTGATCTATTTAAAGATGATGATATCTTATAAGTTTTAAATAATTCTATAATTATTTCATTTAGAATCCTTTCTCAAATCTGCTTTACTTATTTACAAATATCAGATAATTTGACATGATGAAGGTTGTCTGCTGCAGTCATTCTGACTCCTTCTTTTATCATCTATAAATGCCATTCCTTATGCAAATTATTTTTAAAAAACTTATTAATTGTAACATCTAATAGTTGACATATACTAGTTAAAAATGATTATTAGATTAAAATTATGATTTCAAAATTTTTTCTTAACAGATTCTTCTAAATAGCTTCTGAATAAATTATATATAATACAGTCACACCTTGATATAACGAAGTTGCTGATCCAGCCAATCAGAACTTCATTATAAGAATCTTCATTAACGCTATAACGAATTATGCGGTATATATAACAAATAATTCGTTATAGTAGATGATTACTGATTTCATTACACAAATATAATTTTACTATTTTCAGAAATATT